TGCTGAAAAGGGAAATCGAACAATCATAGAGGCTACTCGATCAATGCTCTACGAGTCCCATCTCCCTACTCATTTCTGGGCTGAAGCTATCAACATCGCTTGTTTCACTCAAAATCGGTCACTGATCTTAAAGAGGTTCAAGAAGATAGCTTATGAACTTTTTCATGGAAGAAAGCCTTCTATTAGCTTTCTACACATCTTTGGTTGCACATGTTATATTCTCAACAACCGTGACCAACTCGGAAAATTCTATCCTAAAGCTGATGAAGGAACCTTTCTTGGATATTCTTCAGTATCCAAAGCCTTCAGAGCATTCAACAAACAAAGACAAATGATTGAAGAAACTATCTATGTCACTTTTGATGAATCTCAATCAACTAATTCAAAACCCATCTTAAATGATGATGATGAATTAGAAAACTAGATGTTCTCTCACTATGGACAACCTGAAGCTTCCTTCAGCGTTCCTCTCAACTATGAAGACCCTGAAGATGAAGACGATCCATTAATCATTCCAATTACAGCTAGTCACTCCAACGTATCTTCTTCAAAGATCGCTGCTATGCCCATTAGCTGTGTTCCTCCCTCTACTTCAAACACTGATCAATAAGTGAATGAAATGCCTTCAGCATCTGAACCTATTTCAGTCACTGAATCTGAGGCTCCTTTAGCAATTGTTCCAATCCTTGAAGACACTACAGCTGAAGTCTCATCCTCTATTCTTGAAGCAATCTACTCAGATGATAATCCTCTACCAGCTCAGCGATGGACTAAAGACCATCTAATTCATCAAATTCTTGGTGATCCAGATGCAGGTATCAATACTCGTCGTGGTCTAGGTAATATCTGTCTCTTTGTCAACTTTCTTTCCTTAGTTGAACCCAAGAAAATCAATGATGCTATCTCATACCCTAGTTGGGTCCTTGCCATGCAAGAGGAGCTCATTGAGTTTTATAAGAACAAAATTTGGTACCTTGTCCCACGTCTTTATGACAAAACTATGATAGGCACCAAGTGGGTCTATCACAATAAGTTGGATGAAGAAGGTGTGGTAACCCGTAACAAGGCTCGACTTGTTGCTCAGGGTTATAGCCAAAAAGAAGGGACCGACTATGATGAAACCTTCGCACCAATGGCTAGACTCAAAGTAATTCGACTCTTCCTAGCCTTTGTTGCCCATAGAGACTTTAAAGTATACCAAATGGATGTACAGAGTACTTTCCTTAATGGAAAACTTCAAGAGGAAGTTTATGTTAAACAACCTCCAGGGTTTCTTGACCCTAAGTATCCAAACCATGTCTATCGCTTGGATAAAGCTCTTTAAGGGTTAAAACAGGCCCCTCGTGCCTGGAATGGTACCCTCTGCTCATTTCTCATCTATGAGAAATTTTTCCGTGGAAAGATTGACCAAATCTTATTTGTTAGGAAAGTTAAAGGTCATATCATTCTAGTCCAAATTTATGTCGATGATATTATATTTGGTTCCACTAATCCCTCTTTATGTTTTCGATTCGCTGATCGCATGAAGAAAGAATATCAGATGAGCATGATTGGAGAACTAACATTCTTTTTAGGTCTTCAGATCAAACAATCATATAAAGGTATCTTTATCAGTCAAAGTAAGTATGTTCGTGACATGCTGAAGAAGTTTGATCTATCCAATAGTTCATCTATGAAAACTCAATGGCTCCTCCACTCTCTCTTAACAAGGATCCAAATGAAAAGCCTTTAAACATAACTGTTTACAGAGGAATGACCGGTTCCCAGCTGTATCTCACAACTAGTCAACTAGATATCATGTATTCTACTTGCTTATGTGCACGATATCAATATGAAACTAAGGAATCCCATCTGATTGCTGTAAAATGCATCTTCAGATATCTTAAGGGAACTTCTAACTTGGGTCTCTGGTACCCTAAGGGTTCAGGCTTTGACCTAATATGTTATTCGGATAGTGATTTTGAAAGTTGCAAAATTAACAGGAAAAGCACCACTGGAGGCTGTCAGCTTTTAGGTGGAAAGTTGGTGAGCTGGACAAGTAAGAAGCATAACTCAATGTCGACATCAATCGCTGAAACTGAATATGTAGCCGCTGGTAGCTGTTGTGCCCAAATTCTTTGGATGAAAAACTAGTTGCTGGACTACGATCTTCAGTTTTCAAAAATCCCTATCTATTGTGATAGCACTAGTGCTATTGCTATTGCAAATAATCCTGTACATCACTCTAAGACCAAACATATAGAGATCTGATATCATTTTATCAGAGATCATGTTATGAATGGTGATATTGGACTTCACTTTGTTCCAACTGATTATCAACTCACTGACCTTTTCACCAAGCCTCTTGATGAGACAAGATTTAACATCTTGATCAACGAATGCTAAACGCTGAAGAATAATTCTCTTCATCTATAACATCAATTAGTAAGTGAAATGATTCAGTGCTCTATCTCTGTCACTGAACTCTTGAGTAAATGTATCTATTCTCTTTAAGGTATGATTACTTATCCCTTTTCTTAAAAACTTAAAACTATCACTGAAGCTTTACTTCTTTAGTGATAAAATCGTTTTTAAAAGTTTATTTCAGTGATCCTTGTATTCACTGAACATTTTTGTAAGTATGTCTCTCTTATACTTATCTTTTCTTAAAAATCAAAATGATCACTGAACCTTTCCTATTTAGTGATTCAAATGTTTTTAAAAGTCAGCTCCAGTGATTCTCTTATCACTAACACTGAAGTCTTAAAACTATCACTGAAATCTTTCTCTCTTCAGTGATCAAAATGTTTTAAAAGTTATATTCAGTGATTCTTCTAACACTAAATGACTCTTCTTTTCTTAAAAACCTTTTCGTTTTAAAAGAAATAGTTAATGAACCGTCTTTATGATGACATTCTCTGTTTACAAGGCTTTGGGACGCGCAAAAAGGTATGTCATACGCGACCTTATTTAATGCCATCCAATCATGGATGAGAATGTGCCTTCTTTTTCATCATGGCCTTTTCCCTCAACCGTCGTCTTTTTCTCTCTCTTATCCCGTTTTTCTCTTCTCCTACCTATAAATAAGAGACTTCTCTCTCACATTTTTCTTTACGCTTTCAAAATTCTAGACGAACCTCTGTCATTTTGCAAGCAAGAATAACCTTCAACAATTTCTTTTTTGACCTTCTTCATCTCAAACAAACTAAGGTCGACACATTCTTTCATTTCTTATCCTTCTTTTCTTTTATCCCCTCTAACAAATCATTCTACGAGGAAACGGCTAACTTCCTCAAACAGTTGTCTCTTGGTTTTGCTCTTAATCATGAACCCATGATGGTTAAAGAAGTTGTTCAGCAGTTCTGGTTCACTGCTGAAGTGGTGGAACTTGAAGACAAGAATGATCACCAAGTGGAGAAAATCACCTTCACGTTCAACCGTATGACCGTGAATTTAGGAGTCGCCACCATGAGGACAACTCTTCGCCTCCCCAAGGGCCCCTTCGACAGCGAGCTCTCCACTTCCGAGATCATCCAATGTCTCGATGCCATTGGCTACCAATGGCCAATGAAGAAGGACTCAAATGATCCCATTAAGTCCTTGTCAAAGATTGAGAAAAACAGGATGTTAGCAATCTGGCAATACCTGTTCTCTCATTTTATCCAGTCTATGGGTGGAAAGACTGGAGGACAAGACCATGCCTCCAGAGTCGCCTTGACGATTGGAGTATATGCGATTCAGCGTCGTAATATAAATATGTTGCGGTTATTTTCGATTACCTAGTGCAAAAGCTGAACAAGCGCCAGCGAGAAAAGGTGGTACCATACACCAGGTTCCACTCCATGGTTTTTGGAAAGATATTTGCAGAAAAATATTCCAAGGAAGGAAACCTCCAAGTGTGTAGGCTTGGATCTAGGATTCTGGATCACAAGCTTAGGGAAGGAGACGTTGCACTTTCTTCCATAGTGCCCTTTTCTCCCTCTTCTCCCCAGGTGGTGAAGACAAAGAAAAACTCCCTTGCGTCTAGCCTAACCACCAAAACCTCTTCAAAACGACCTTTTCAACCAACTCTTGGTTCTCCTCTGAGAGCCAAGAAGGCCAAAAAGGGGATAGCCACATCTCTGGCTGAGACCTCTCGAAAGGTTTCAGCTATTGAAACTAGCCTTAACCCCGAGGCACCTTCAGATACCCTCTCTAGCTCTTCAGTGATCCCTACAAACACTGACGTATCAGTCGTACCTACCCCAACCGCCTCAGTGACCCAAATCACTGAAGGTGTGAATATTAGCGCCGCCACCGCTAACCACCCACTAGTCTTCTTAGCCGTCTTCTCTTCTCCTCCTTCTTTGGTCGCTACACGTGTTTATGACTCATCAGCGAATGGCCTCCCTGATGATGAAACACACACCACTGGACCTGAGGTTGCTCCTTTCGAGGCTCCTTAGCATACAGATGCTCATCCTCTCGAGAGCATCATTGAGCAAGCCAGTGTCAATCCTTTGGATGTCACTGATGGCCCCTCAGGTATTCCATCTTCCTACCCCTTCAGTTCTTCTAACCCCGAGCTTCTATCTGCTCACTCTCCATCTCTTTTAGGCCCTTCTGCGTCTCAGGGTATGGACGAAGAAGAAGACGATTACGACGAAGAAGAGGACTACGAAGAAGACTATGAAGATTATGACATGGCTTCTGATGTCAAGCTTCTCCTCCCAGCCGTTGATACCGTCTTCTGCAAAATGTCTGAAGTACATCGAGATATGCCTCACAAGGCAGATATTGATGCGGACCTTTCAGCTGTCAAAGCTAATGTTCAAGAAGTTAGGAATCATCTCTCGACTCTTCATGAGGCTGTTCGAGCCAACGCTGAAGCCATCGCTGTTCTATCCAGCAGGGCTGATGACGCTCAGGCTCAGTCTCTCTAGTAGATAGAGCTTCTGCAGCAGATCCTGGATGCTGTCCATCAACCAGCACCAGTGATCCCACCCTCTTTCACCGCTGATGACCGCGCTTAGCTCAATGAGATGCGCAAAGCAACGACAACTCTAGCCAGCGCTCTGTCATGGCTAGAGGAGATGATGGTTCTCCAGCATCAACGTATGGACAAACTATCTGGCCTATACTCTCAAGTCTTAGGCAGAGAGGGGGAGATGAAGTCCAACGCTGCTTGACCATTTACTGCTCCAGTAATCCATGACGCTGAAGCTGAAGCCGAGTTTTCCCAAGCAATCCCAACCTCCGGTGAAACTGTTACAGCTGAGGAAGTTGATGCCATCCCTCGGGATGATGACTTTCCCATCACCTCTACACCTGTTGCTGGTGGTGATGATGACGAAGAAGATGATGATGAAGATGACGAACCTGATCTTCCAGACTCTGGCAGTGACCTTGATGGTGATGATGACGACGATAATGAAGATGATTTCACCATTCAGTATCAACATCCAACAACCGCCACCAAAGGAGTCGTCCTTAGGGATTCTGCATCCCCGGGGGAGCAAAGGGAGGAAGAGTCCTCTCCATCAAAGAACCAGGACCCTAAGTCAAAAGGCAAAGGTGTCGTTGAAGAAGGGAACCTGAAGGTACTTTTCAAAAACCCTCAACCTTTATTTGAAGACTCTACCTCTCAGGTACTTGTCACTTCATTATATCAACTTCATATCCCTTCTACTACCTGCGGTCGACTGGAGTAGGTCCCTGAAAACCCTGTCTCCAGTACTCCTACCGAATAGTAGATGGCTCAGTTTAAGGAGTCTCGACCAAACTAGAGTAAAAATCCCTCTTCATACCTCTATTCGTGGTGAGTTTGACTTCCTTTCTGAAGCTGAAAGACTCGAGGCTATAAAGGCTGAAGAAGAGCTAGAGCTTCAGAAGAAGCAGACTGAAGACAACCTAAAGCTGGCCAAGTCACTAGCTGAAAAGATTCTTCCAAAGAGGCTATGTCCGGTAACAACGTCATCAGTCAACACTCTGTCCGGTAACTACCTCACCGGTCAATACTCTGAAATACTATAACAAAGTCGAACAATGCTTTATCGTTGAACATCCTCACCGGATAAGGCATGAACGATAAACTCCAATCCGGTCAACACTTAGAAGTCCCAAACACTAAACTGTTTGACTCTTTGGGCGATAAAATACATAAACCGAACAACCCTTGTACGATAAGGGTCTTCACCGGTCAAGGCATGACCGGTAAGGGTGTTGATCCTCTCTCTCAGTAATTTGATGATAATCTCTTTTTCCTTCCACGTTGTATTTGTGTTTCTGTATTTTCAGTTCTAGTGATCATCACTAAGTATGTTCAGTGATCGCTGAAGAACTTGCATTGTAAATTCATTAGAGACAACAATACTTCAAGAAGACAACACTCACACCAAAGAATCTTCAGCGAACGTCAAAGACTGAAACTAAAGATTAGAGACTGGCAAGTACGTGATCTAAAGTGGTATTCAGTGATTACAAGCCTGACTACATATGTGTGAAGACTGCTCTAGCTTCAGCGAATGATGATGAGACCTCCAGGTCATTCTAGCATTCATCGATCAAAGGAAGCTTGCTTAGCACGATTGTAGTTGTCTTGTCCTTATG